AAAATAAGAACCAAGATGCATTATATAAAGGTACAATTCCCAATGAGAAATGTAATTGTGTTGTATACCTGCAATGTACCAATAAAAGAATTTAATACAAGAAAAAAAAAAGTGCAGCAGTCGCATCTTACCCTCTCCTGTCTTCTGCACCCACAGTTACTGCAGCAAGGAGGTGTACAATAAGGAGAACCTTTTCAATAGCCTGAATTATGATGTCGCGGCCAAGAAGAGAAAGAAGGACATACTAAATAGCAAAACCAAAACTCAATGTAAGCCATCTGCTTTAAACTTGAGAGGAAAGTTGTTCTAAGATAGTCAAGGATCAGTTCTTGGAGAAAGAACCATGACCCGTGTTAGACATGTTTCTTAATGTTTACAGTGTGGCGGGCTCAATCTCCCGGCTCTTTGCACCCAGAAACCTGGCTGTGCATTTTATAAGCGAGATGAGCATGCTCCTTAAAGTCTTGTTTATAAGTCATTCCTAGGCGGGGTATTTTCTCCTGCTTGTCACATGTTTTTGCCATAAGTGACATAGTTATTACAAGTGTCGTGGTCAGCTCAGTGCATGCCACTGTGTGCTTTGATTTTTGAACTTTGTTTTGAGGCTTTGAAAATAGATGTGTTCTTGGATTTTCTTGTATAAATATTATTAGTATTTCTAGATGCTGAATGTAAGTGTTAACAAAGCGTATAAAGTTCTACTAATTGCAAATATTTTCGTTTAATCCATAAATTACAGATTATTTTCATTTATCCCATTTGTTCTGCATGGTTTCTCCATGTCATCTGTTCTGTTTCTACTTTTTTGGCCTTATATAAGTTTTGGATTTGGCATTTAAAACAAACTATAGCTAGGTTTTGGGGGGGGGGGTCTTTGGTATACTAAATCCAGCTATCAACTTTTTGAAATATGTCAGACAAGATAAATTATAGCTCCAGTGTTTATTGGAAGAAATACTTTAGAACTTAATTTCACTGCAGAAATTAAGAATTTGAGTCCTTTTAGATTGTCAGTAGAGTCTTCATAATTTTGTCAAAGCTTTTTAAATTTTGGAACAAATGAAAAAGATGCATGTTTAAAATCTTGGGCATGTTACACATTTTAAAGGTACGGCTTTTTGTTTTGTTTTGTTTTGTCTCTGCAGATTTCCACCAAGAAAAATGGATCTATGTTCACAAAGGAAGTACTAAAGAGGTGAGTATAGTAACTCAGCATGCTTAGCCTGTGTCCTCTGAACAGCCAGGCTGGTGAGTTGGGAAGGGGTCGCTTCCAGGCCTGGCTGTCTTCTGGGATGTGGGTGTCAGTGGTCAGCAGCCTGTGCCAAGCCAGCCCTCAGATGCTGGAGCTACCAAGAAAGTGAAGAAGAAGCTGTTTGGTGGACTCCCCAGTCTTCAGTGAGATAATATACATGGAAGTGTTTTACCAGGATTAGTATGCCCATCTCAGCTGTGCTAGTATAAGCCCTGATTTTCCCACAAGACGGTGCCCCCTTTTGTTCTAAAATCTCTCCAGACATCGGCTTGGTTAAGTGTAGTCCTGTGAGGACTGATCACTAAATCTAGCAGTGTTCTGTGCCTGCCTGGCATGAAGTAGGAGGGGAGTGTTATAATAATGACATGTGCAAGGTACTTGATGAGGCCATGTCGCACACATTTCTCTCTGCACAGGCACTCAGATAACTAGGATGCGAGGCAGTAGAGTAGAACAGTGGGGCTCCTGTAACCATCCAGGACCAGGTGTGGAGTATGCCTGCTTCCCTCCATGATCGCAGGCCCAGAGAGGGTCAGTGATGCATCTGAAACCACCAAGAGACTCAGATCGGGGACAGGACTGTTGAGCTATGCTCTCAATTCTTTATGCAGTCATAGATAAAAGATCAAAGCTTCTTTTGCTTCCTTTGGAGCCTTAAAAAAAATACCACTTGTGATGATTGCAGTGAGAAAAGCTCTCAGTGCAAGGCAGTGTAAAGTCAGACCGAGCACGATTGAGACCACTGAGGCAGGCAGAGTCTAAGCAACATGTGATGAGTTAGTTTATTGCCATCTGGGTGCAGATGGGCCAAGGGCGAGAAGGCCATCAGCACTGAGAGGAGGGTTGCGTGGTTGATATGGGGAGTTTAAGTAGGGGAGGGGGCAGTGGTCAAGAGGGTGGACAATTTAGAGTCCCAAGGTGATGGGCCTGGGCTGGCTGATATACAGGGCAGTGGTGAGAGCAGCAGGGTGCTGCTGGCTTCTTGTTAGCTCTGCTCCTGTGGATGTAGGGAGCCGGGTGCTCGGGCAGGGTCCAACTCGGGGGGGCCTGGCAGGCAGGCGGTGACAGGTTGTCCCAGGTGGGCCACACCCTCCTCCCGGGCATGGGTCACTGTCTGCAGCACTCTTGCTCCCACACATCACGTGGCGTGCTTTCCCACAACAGCACAGGCAGAGCAGGCGCCCAAAAACCAGTCACAAAATGGGACTTTCCATGTGTTTGGCCCAGATCTAAGTAGCTGCAGGCCTCGTCGCCTGTCTTGTGGCTCCCAGGGATCCACAGTGAGGAGAGAAGCCAGTGCCCAGGTTACCTAAGACAGGCGCCCGCCCTGTTCCACAGTCTGCTTGGGTCCTTCTAGAAGGCTGCCGCGCGCCAGGAGTCACATGCCTGCCTCTGTTTCCCATTCAGCGCCATGGCTATTGCACACTGGGGGAAGCTTTCAACAGACTGGACTTCTCCACTGCCATTCTGGACTCCAGAAGGTTCAGCTACGTCGTCCGGGTAAGTCCCATGGGCCTGAGGCTCATCCAGATGCATGAGTTATGTCTGTTCAGGTTGTCCTGAAGGCTTGCTTCAGGGTGCTGGGGCTCCTGTGAGGACGTCCCTGTGAATGACCATAACAGATGGGTCTCCACAACCCCAGCTCCTCAAGTGCAGCCAGTGCAGCCTCCTCTGGTTAAATAGGATGCCTTGTAGGCAGAAAGCAGCTGGAGAGAGGGAGCAGGGAGCAGCCCAGCTCCTGAGGCTGGCTTTTGAATGCTTCTGCACCTTCCCCATTGTTCTCAGTCTCCTCCCCTGCTTCCACTGACTCTGGTCGACCCAAGGCATTCTTGGTTTAAGCCCCACAATCACAAGAGTTCAGAGCCCCGCGGTGTGGCCTTCTCTGACTCCTTTCCATCTCCGTGCCCATGTGACAACAGTATTCAGTCACCTAACCACCTAAAGCCTCAGCTGCCTGTTGAGGACTGTTGCTTTCCATTTTAAACCTCATTTTGGAAATTTAATGATCTTTAGAAAAATGCTAGTGATGAGGGAAGGAAATTTACCGTGGCTCTCAAGCCATTAATTCTTTCCAGGCGAGCAGCTTGTTCCCCTCCCCCCAACCCCAGGCACCCCTGAGCATTTCTGTTGGTGATTTGACCTGGGAGTAGCAGCTGTTCGGGTTTTAGGCTGTGAAGCAGGAGGGAATTTTCCCCTTGTGTTTCTCGGTTTGGCTTTTATTTCCTTCTGGGCTGCTGGACTTCTCAGTGCTGTGTCACAGTCAGATGGGGCAGAAACTGAGCCAGGGTGGTGACATCCAGCCCCCTCAAGGATTGGCATGTTCACCTGTCGTCAGGTAGTGCAGGCTGGGCTGTGACACCGACCGGGAACCCAGGCTGCCAGAGCAGGGAAGAGCTGAGCCGAGCCCATGACGTGGGGGCAGATCTGTCTTCTCTCCAGCTAAGCCCATCTTCTGACCCAAAGGATATGAAAACAAGAGTCCTGGGTGAAATGTTCCATCATCCAGCTGGCCTCTCCCAGTTTCAGAGGTCACCCAGTCTTCCTAGCGGCTGCAGACTAGTCTAGCTGGTTGGAAATGGGCCCAAGGAGATCTGGAAACTTCTGTTGCTAAGAATATGAATAGTTTCCATCTTCTGCTAGAGGAAGACACCTAGATCTGATGTCTTGTTACAAACTGATCCTCAAAATGGTCTGTTTTTAGGTGTTTTTCCTTCCTAACTTTTTCTTTCAAAAGAAATAAAGCACGGGACAGGATTATAATGGTAAAAATCTATTTCATGTAATTGTAGCTCACCATTTACCCATTCAATAACTTTATACAGTGTAGACAATTTTATTATCTCCATGTAAACAAATGGCAGCACAGTAAATGACTTGTCTGAAGTCACAAAGCTATGAGGGACAAATGCAGGTTTGAAGCCTGGCTAGTTTAGAGTCTGTGCCCTGAACTGCTGTGTACAATCAAACAAGTTCTGCACAAGCAAAGAGTCCTAAAGTGAGGCCCCAGCTCCACTCATTTCCAGCTCTTTCAGCCTCCTGCAGACTTGGTGTCCTCCTCTGTGAATGGCTGGCCCCAACTTCAGGGGGCAGCTGTGGAGATACGGGGCTCTGTTACACACTTGCATACTCTGCAGACCAGGATTCACCATAGGGAACAGGGAGAGGGGACGTTACGAGAACTCCTGCAGGGAGTCCTGGTCTCCTGTGAGCCATGACAACACAAGGCGAATTAACTAACATATAGACAGAAATAAGACGTGGAGAAGAAGCTGAGCTTCGGGCCTGATCAGTGCTGCCCTGGGCGGCAAAGACGACAGCCCCTGAGCTTGCTGCACCTTTGTTTGATACTTGGGAGTAACAGATGACTCAGGGCTGAGGAACTATGCAGATGGAGATTTGTTCCTCCCAGGATGTCTTCAGCTGGTGTGATCCTGGCCTGGAGCATCACAGCATCAGGGGACCATTGAGGTCTTAGCTGTGACCAGAGATGAAAACGGAGTTATGTCTCCACATGCCGTAGCTTGGCTGTAGGCAGGAAAGCTTGGCCTAATCATAATTTTAATTGTGAAATGATTTTTCCCCAAAATTATGTAGAATTGGTCCTGACAATCCACTCTGCAAGGTTAGCTACTAATCCTTACTGTTACCTGCTCACCAAAATTGTTGTTGATTCCCCGTAAGATGCCTTTTCAAGTTAGTTAATAAAATCGGTTTTCTACTTTTAAAAATATAATGATTAACAAGAACCCAGCACACAGAACTTGTGCCTGGTGGTATCCAGTTCTATCATGAGCACTTTCCTTTAAAGAATTGTAAAGTCAAAGAAACTACTGAATGCTTTCAAAATTGATAGGTTTAGAAATAGTGGAAAAATATTTCTATTTTGGAAAGAACAGTTTTCCCCCTTCACTGTTTGAGGCCTCTATAATTTGAGAAATAATATGTTATTTTTATAGAGAACTTAAAACATTTTAATGATAGGCAGTGTGTTTTGAGGTTTTTCTTCTTAGGAACTCAGTATACTGTTCATATACTGCCCTTATCCTTAAATCAACCCCACACGGTCCTGTAGCTTGCCAGCGTGTTATGCTTTTCTTACTACTCTGACCTGAGGCTATTTTAGTGCCATGATTACGCAGTTTCAGTAAGGAGCTAAACCAGTTTGGGGGGGGGGGGGCCTAAACCTTTTAAGAACAAAGCACATCTTTAATTTTCTTATGTTCATGTCAGCAGCCCATCTCTCAGAAGGAGGCAGGTAGAACTAAAAGAGACGCCCAACGCTGCTCTCTCACAATGTTACCTTTTGTATCAGTTAGTGCTTGGATGGCATGGAATTTGGGGGTTCTGAAGTTTTAACTATAAATTGGACAGGTTTTATATAACATTTACGTACTATTTTAATTAGCTTCAAACTGTGTACTTTGTCCCTGCTCACTCCCAATGAGTTAAATTACAATTTGAGCTCCGTGTTTTAAAGATGATTTAAGTTATTTAGAAGCAGTGGTTTGTGGAAGGCCACTTACAAAAATAGTTTACCTGGCCAGGAATTTAGATCAGCAGCACCACGCCTGCCTCATAAGTGCAAGGTCCTGAGTTCGATCCCTAGTACCAAAAAAAAAAAATAATAGTTTACCTTCGGCCTCAGGGCCAGAGGCTCCCAGGGGCTGAGCCAGTTGTGGGCTTGGGCCTTGCTGACCAGGAGAAGGTGAGTCATGAGGAACCAGAGCACAGAGAGGCCAGAGGTAAAGTGATCTCAGCCCCAGCTGCTCTTAGGCCCACCTGCGAGGCCCGCTGGAGGAAAGAGGAGTCCCCGCCACAGCTTCTGGTGGACTGGGTTGAAGGTGGTACCCTGGTGATGCCACTTTCAGAATACCTGCCGGGTGACCTCAGAGTCTGAAGGTCTGTAAACTAGCTCAGAAATAACTCTGGAAACCCGACGTGGTGGTGCACATCATAATCCCAGCACTCGGGGAGGCTGAAGCAGGAAGATCAAAAGTTTGAACCCAATCTGGGCAGCTGAGCAACTTGGCAAGACCCTGTCTCGAAATAAAAAATAAAAAAAGGACTGAGGAGGCAGCTCAGTGCAAAAGCCCTGGATTTAATTCTAAGTACCACAAAAAGAAAAAAGAAGAAAGCTGAGATGTAGTAAAGCCAGGCCTATGAAAGTTTTTTTAACTTTTTAAATTTTAGTACATGTTTATGGTACATAATAATTACATTCATTGTGGGGTGTTTCTACATAATACATCTGAATTCTTTTTACTTCCCTTCTCCTCCCCGTTTCCTCCCTGTCTGCATCCCTTGGTCTCCTTCCTGTCTGCAAAAGATCTGTCTCCCTGTTCCCTGTCACCTTTTGTTTTTCTCTTTAAATTGTTTCTGCTTTGGGTTTCTTGCGTAGGAGAAACCATGTGATGATGTTTAAGCATGTGTGTCAGGTGCCTGTGCAGTTTTGGAAGGTGAGGTCACTGCAGACATGCAGGGGTAGGCGGGTTTGAACCAGTCTGGAGTAGGGTGGAACCCAGGGAGGTGGGATAGACAGAAGCAGACCTCGGTTGGTCAGAGACAGAGGAGCAGGACCCGAGGTCCGCCCCACAGTAGCGCATTGTGCTGTGGAGGCAGCTGCCTGGGGTTGCCACGTGCCGGTTTATGTGACCTTGGACGAGCCTCACTCAACCGCCTGCAAATAGGACTGGTGATCGGGAACTCGGCAGAGCTGTGGCGGACACTATAAACGAGAAAAGCAGCTCACTGCGCTCATCACACAAGGAGAAGAGCCCGGGCGTCCCTTGCTGAAGCTTGCTCACCTACATGTGGCTGCAGGAGGAGTATGTGCAGGCGTGAGAAGCTGAGTGTGAGGCCTTTCCATGTGCCATTGCCTGGTGGCAGAAGGAGCCCTGGCAGAGGACAAGGACCAGAGCTCAGTGGAAAAGGCGTTTCAGAAGGGTGTGACGGCTGACATCCGGCTCTCCCAGGTGCTGTCGAGCTAAGTCTGTCCCTCTGCCTCACTGATTGCATCCCTGCCCTTCTCTGGTGAACAGTCAGGCCATACAGCATGATGGGCAGATCTTGGAGGCCTGGGAACGGAGCCCGGAGCCATTGCACAGGATCGCCTGGTGGGAGCGGACTTGGGGCCTCCGCATGGTCCTCTGGCTCCAGGTCCAGTGCTCCCCTGCACCATGCGCTCAGAAAGACAAGGGAGAGTGCAGCGCTGCCCTCTTCTAGCATCACTGCATGCACAGGGCGGGGCCTGGATGCCAGGCGGACCTCAGCAGTGATGGCAAGCCTTTCGGAACTGTCAGTGCCAGCAAGGATCCCGCTGCAGCACTCGCGCCAGAGGCCGCCCGTCGCCACCGGCCTAGGTCATTGCTCCCACCTCTCCAGTAACTGCAGCTCCCTGATTCACCCTGGAGCTTGTGCAGAGCCTGGAGCACCAGTTCCTGGCAGAGGACACTGACCGGCATGTCCTGGTGGCTCCGAAAGGACAACCAGAACTTGCACCT